ATATAATAAATATAATATTTAGTTTTGTACAGAAAAGTATAATTTAAATAACAGTAGCATGTTTCATATTTCTATATTAATACTAAAAATAGGTAATAGTACTCGTAATAAAAAAAGTTTTTTCATTACAACATAATCACCATATATTATGTTGTAATCAGAAAATCGTTTCTTGCTAAATCGAGTGAATATTCTATATTATGAAGTAAAAATGTAAACTTATTATTTAATTTGATGTTCCAGTGTACATTATACATTTATACCTATATTTGATAAAGGTACACAAGCTTATGAGGAATATTATATCAAATTTTCAAATCTTTGATATAAAAATTTTTTTATGAATTTCCAATTTAAATAAATTAACAAATTGTTGTGATTTTTGACAAATTTTGTCAAAATTCGAATTTGAGAAGCTCGTAAAAAATATTATGAATTATGCTCGATCTCTTTTTAATTCCCACTTACAACAACTTATTGAAATTTTTTCGACGTTATTAATTTAAAGAAAAATAATAAGAATTGAAAATTTCATATGCCTATAAATAGTTCAACATGAGTTAGATTTTGAAAATTTTATGGTGTATAAAAAATGTTATCCTAAACATTCAGTGAAAATGTCATGTATCTATGGTAATTTATTTAAGTGTTATACCAAAAACCAAAATCGATTTTGTCAAAAATCAAACTTCGGTAAAAATTGCTATTTTCCCTACTTTCCTAGTTTTTCTAGATGCTTTTGAAAACTTCTGGCGCTAGTAATTTTAAGTATTGACCTCACGAATGTACCAACTAGATTCACTTTCCCAGTGGAAGAGATACTGAAGTTGAAAATTGAATMATTATTTCAACGACTTATTGTGTCAAAGACACAAAAAAATAAATACATTCATCAGAATCTAAGAAAAACATTTGACTGTAGAAACTATAAAATATTATTAAAATCCACAATTACATTGGTTTAAAAGGTATGATGTATGATGTATTAAAACCCTACTTAACTAATATACAACTAATAGTGATTAATAATGAATAAGTCTTTAAGTGAGAATCATCAAAAATTAGCAACTGTTTCTCAAGGTACTGTTTGTGGACCACTTTTGTTTATTATATAATATAGGTATTGGTATAATGCTGAAATAATTTGTTACGATAATAGTATTGTTATTTATAATTCATGATGAAATTTATATATACAAATGATAATAATTGTATTAAAATTGGAATGAAAGAACCCGATTAATTTTAATCTTAAATAAATACAAGTATTTTTACTTGAATACTAACTCATAGTGTTATGAGTGTAACAAATATAAAATCACAGCAAATGTAATACTATAGGTGTACAAGTATTTATTATAACAGACACTTTTACAGGCTTATTGTTATTCAACTTTTTTTTTAAATGACGCCTATAACTGTAATGTGTGTTAAAAATAAATATACAAAATATTTTATGAATAGCTAGAAAATTGTTATTACTTAAAATGCATTTTAATTTTAAGTATAACACTATATATTATGAATCATTGAAGCTTCTAAAACTTCTGAGTTCCAGAAAGACATTTGTATTATGTTAAAACATTCCTCTGCTTCGTTCTTGCAGAATATTCTATTGTGTTCTTGCTCTATTATAGGTTTTTTTTAAATGTTTTAATTTAACTCTAATCAGTGTTCCAATATGAATGTTTAGTTTGGGGTGGACTGTCCGAAATTTATTTAAAGCCATTACATCTTCAACAAAACAAAATGATAAGAATCTATTTAGATAAAAAAAAACTATGATAGGCTCAACGAATCAAAATTATAAAGAGCTTAAGGTATTGCCTATTAGATCGGTTTACAAAAAAATTATGATATTTTGGTTAGATGCAAACAGAAAAACATGGTTCAATACAGAGTTATATAAAAATAAAAGACAACACAGGGCATTAGATGTATTACTAAATTGGTATGTAAAAACAATGTGTGGTCAAAAATTCATAGACTGCCTTGGGCCTACTACATTCAATTCATTGGATTATGACATAAAACAGAAATTACAATACTATACAAACAAAAATCAAAAAAAAAAATTAATTAATTAATGGTTATTGTGCAATTTACCATAAATCAAGTTCTTTTTATATTTTAAGCTATTTAAATAATTTTAATCTATATTTGTTTTATTTGTGTATATTTGAATATAATGTTATTTTATAGTTTTGTTTTTATCATTTACAGTTTCTAAAAAAAAAATTATATTGATATTTGTTTATTTAGTTTTATATGTATTTAAAATTTTAATTTAGTATAATTTCTTTTATTAATAATTATATTACATAATTTAATAACTCTCTATCTCCAACACAAGCTTTGCTTAAAGGAGAAAGATAATCAAAAATGTTATCTATAAAAATAATTTATGTATATTCTTTCTTTCGATCAATTTAAAAAAAAACTAGTTATCATTTTTTTAAGACTTTTTTTTAGCTAATATTGCAACCAAATTAATATCTTGAGTGAAAATACATTTTTAAACATAGTTTAAATTTAAATAATACATAAATATTATATTTTTTATGGATAGATATACATTAGTTACCTATTTTCAAGAGTATATCACACATGCATAGGTTAAGGGACGCCAATTTTTTTAAATTAGTGTGGCAAATCCAAAAAATATCAAATGAATTTTTTTTTATAAAAATTCAGGGTCGGTACTTAAATAATATTTTTACAACAATATATTTTATGGTTTTTTTCTTTTTGAAACTGACTCATATTTATCTGTAAACTGTTTTATATTTGCTTGGTTTAAATTATTAGCCTTTGATATATTAGTCGCTCTTGGGAGACAAATTGACTGTGGTGTTTAAAATGTTTTTAATCTAAGAAGAACTTGTCTTGCTTCCTTATTGTGTTTTTAACTCTTTGATACTCTTTGTTAATAACCCATTACCTAATCATAATTAAAATAAATTAAATTATATTGAATCACTGTGAAAACTGTTAACGGAGAAACTGAAAAATCAATTACCTTAGAAGATAAAACATATAGAGAATGTATGCACAATGTATAGCTGTATAAGAAATATACTTTCACAGTCTATCTATAACATGTTTAACATATTTCTACTGTGAATTATTGTAATTGTATTGGAATGTGTATTTTTGATTAAAATAGTGTGATAAATGAATACAGATTAACTAATCTTTTTGTGGTTTAGATTTTAAAAGGTATTAAAAATAAAAATCACAATAATTAGGTAAATCTTAAAAAAATATGTTCCTTAGTATTAAACTTGTTGTAGCATAAGCACCATGCTGTCAAATAAAACAGTTTAATATTAATAAATTATTTTTGTTGCAGATGCTTTACATGGAAATATACTATCCTTAGGGTTACGACTTTTTCCATTCACAGTTGAAAAAAGCTTTCCAACAAAACAGTGACATCAGCAAACTTATCTTTATAAGCTGGTAAAATGTGGTGAGTTTGTCATCAAAGAAATTAAAACAAAAAAATAATGATATGAAAAAAAATAAGAATACAAAAAATACAGAACATTAAAAGATAGATATCCCGCGGAGAAGGAAAATAGTCAAAAAAGCTATTTATTAAGGGGTTTTTTTTATATGTATATATTATATGAGTATTATAAAATATGTATTTTTGTACAGTTTTATATATATATATGTAGTTTAAGCTTACAAACAAAATAATAATAAAAAAATGATTGGTATCTATATATTATATGTTAATAATCCATTGTGTACACGTTAATATAAGTGCATTAAACAGAAAAAGCTGTTTTAAATGCAATATTATCATTAACACAATATTATAAATCGAGCATAAATTAAATTTTTTAAATTTGAAAAATAAATTTTTAAGGCAGAAGCATGAAAAAAATATAAATATGGTCACATAAGTAACAATAAAAATAAATAATACAAATATACAATAATACATTACATTATTTTCTTAGGGGATTCAAGTTAAATTGTTAATTTAATAATAATACCTAAAATATAAAACTTAAGCTGTATTATATGTATAATATTTAACTAGTGTATAGAACAAGAGATCAGATATAGTTTTTCCTTTAATTTATTATGAATCATTATCCAATTTAATATTTTCATTTAATTTTATAGAACTCAACTAAACAAATAAAAATCTCACCTAAGACATGAATTTTAACAATACCCAAATTGAAGTTTGGCAAAATAAAAAAAAAATATCTAGTAGAAAACACAAATGTCTAAATTTTAGTCTCACTAAGTAAATTAAGATATAATCTTTAATACATTACCTATTTGATAAAAATATATTGAACCTTAACACATTTGCAATTGGTTGATTATAAAAAAAAACCATTAGTGTTTTGATTTTCCTAATAAAATTAATAGTTGTTTCTTAACTTAAATTATTTTAATTTATAATTTATATTAAAAGGATATTAATATTTAAGGACATAGTAGATTGTATAAATTTAGTAGTTTCATAATACATTTATTTAACTTTTTAAAGCCTGTAAGCGATTTTTCATTTCTTCTAGGTCATCGTCCTCTTCAACTATTTCAGTTTCTTGTAGTACTGAACCTCCTGGTGTTTCAGTAACTGCCATAGGTGCTTGACCTAATGCTCCAGCTGTGATTTCCCATAATACCTAAAAATATTATACAATTTATTAGTTCAAAAATAATATTAATTTAATTTAATATTATGTTCAAATTTACTTTATCAATTTCTGATTGTGCTTCTTCTTCCATATCTTCGGGGTCATCCATTACATTCTCCATTGTATCATCTAACATTTCTTCAATGATTCCAGCCTAAAATCAAAATTAAAAATTCATATGGGTCAACTAGACTTTAATAATAAACTAACCTTCATCATTTCCTTGGATAAATCTCTCATAGTAGCTGCAACTTCAGGTACTTTGATCAAATTATGCATTGTTTGCATTACTTCTGATGATTTTTGCAGTGAACCAGCCATTCTCAGCACAGCTAAAATGAAACGGTTGAATATAAATTATTCTGACTGTGATTATTGCAACTGTGAATATATCATAATATATTAATTTATTAAATTACACAGCTGGTTTTTCATTTGCATTTGTATAGAATTCATATGTGTCTTGGAAGTAATCAGTTTATTGATAGTTTTGCGTGACCTCAGTATTTCTTTGGCCAGAATGATGCACACATCTTTGTTTCCCTTCTTGGCTGCTTCTTTCATTGAACGTTTAACTTTTTCTTCTTCTCGCTGTATGCCTGTGTCACAAAGAGAGCATATCAAACCCCCAACCAATATTTTAATTTTTTTTTAAATGGTACTTGTTAACTTGTACAGATATTACATTAAATAAATATATTAATACATAATTAAATTGATATTAAAACTAATAAAATTCAGTTGTATAATTGTATATACGTAACACAAGCTAGCACACTTACCTCTAATTTGTCGGTCCAGTTTATACGTTTCTTTGCGTATGGTCGACGTCCACTGTTTGACCTATGCCATGCCGCAATATCGGAAAAAAACAAACTCACAGATTAATACGACAAGTTTGTACATTAGTCAACTGAGATTACTCACCTGATCCTTAGGATCGACAGTGGCTGATTTACCGAATATGCCCATATTGATGGCCGTCTATCTGGAACGTGTTCGCTGCCTGTTAACGCTGTGTCTATAAACCCGACAGTCGGGTCCACGGACTAAGATAATATCTTACTGTCTTAGTCCGTGCTTCAGCAGTTCAGCGTTCAGCTATTATAGGCAGGACTCTGTTTATGAGGGACTTAACGACCGAGGAAATACTTAATGTTAGGCCTGAAGTTACACGCATCAGTGCTAGTTTGATAACGAATATTATGTGATAAACTGATAACTAAATCCGCAATACGTAGAGTTTTGAAAATTGTAAACTAACAATTAGTAATCATCTATTAGATGTACCTAGACTATTCATTTGTTCAGGAATTGTTTATTAATTGTTCGTTTTATTCTCGAAAGATTATTCGATTGCTACAACCACATTAATTGCGAGTTCAAATTATTCAACTGTTTATTTGAAAATCGATCTTATGTTGTCACCTGCCAAGAGAATACCTAATCAAAAATGAGTGGTTTTCGATTTAAAAATCCTGGTAAGTTTTTTAATTATTGTTTAGTTACTAAGACTCCAATTCGTACTGTGGAATAATGTTTTGGTGTCTTATTTAAATTCAATCAAATTTAGAACATATTTTTCTTAACAAGCAACCATCAAAAGATACATCACTGATTTTTGTTTAGAATATTGTGACAAATACAATCATAAAGTAATTTGTATTGAGTCGTAAATCAAAAAAGACTACATAATGAATTTATTTCCATTTTTTGATGTTTGATTATAGAAACATACATTTTTCAATTTTTGTCTAATAATTTGAAGATATTTATCTTGTTGAAAAAACACCTCTCCGGTAAGTGGCTTAACTTAACCAGTTTCTAATGGCTGCTTTCACTCTGTTGTCTAAATACTGTTGCTTCTTTAATAGTTTTTTTTTTTCAAGTGGCCAAACACAAATGTCACTGATAGATCAATCATTGCTGTTGTGAAAATTTTCTCATAATTTTCTCTTGAATTTAAACTGTAAGCTAATTGCTTTGGTTTGTTGAATGTGACGTTGTGTTTTTGTGAAGAACTATGATTTCTTGGATTCCAGGACAATCTTTTATCATCATTTAAATTTTAGAATGCAGCTGATTAATTTTGAAGATTAAAATCTAATCACTGCATGAATTTCAAATGTGAACATAGCAGTAGCCATAATTAATTACTAATGATATTAAAATTAAAGTAGTTTTCACGACCAATACTTTGAGAAAAAATCTTGAACAATATTGGTTATAAAATATGAGTAGAATATTTTTAATGATAAAATTGTAAAAATATAACCTCCGATGTAACTTCCTTTTTAATTGTTTCTATAATTCATGATATGTGTTTGTTTTTAATGTTACACATTTTTACTCTAGATGAAAAACCAGGATATGGAGAAGAAGATTCCAACTTTGAATCTGCCATATCTTCTTCATTTGTTTATAATCCATATATGTCATTGGATTTACAAAGCCAAAGAAATAAATTACCTATAACCAAACATCAAAATGAAGTATTGTATCTTTGTGAAAAGTTTCAAACATTAATATTAGTCGGATCTACTGGGAGTGGAAAAAGTACTCAAGTGTCTCAAGTACGTTTTATTTTATTTACTCAAATCATCATATACATTATTTTTATACTCTTATGTTCAGCAATATTATAGGTTAAAAATATGAAAATTGTACTAACTATTGATTTATTAAACTATAGAAATAATATTTTAAATAGGTGATATTATACTCTTCAATTTTTTACCAAAAATTAAATAGCTACTCAATTCTTTTTTCAAATAAATAGTTTTTAAGAATTTATTTCATGAATTAAATTGTGTAGGTATATAATTATTGTTAGCAATAACTTAGAATTTTTTTTCATAGTTTATTACATACAAATTTAATTACTTACAGATGCTTTTAGACAGTGGTTTATGTCAATGTGACAAATCAATTGTAATTACTGAGCCCCGAAAAATAAGTGCCATAACATTAGCTACTCGCGTAGCACAAGAACAAAAAACAAACCTTGGTCAACTAGTTGGCTATTCAGTTAGATTTGATAACTGTAGTCAACCAAGCACAAAAATTAAAGTTAGTTATTCATATTTTATGATATTATTTATATTTTGTTTATATATTAACACAATTTATTTTATAAATAGTATATCACCGAAGGTATTCTTTTGAATGAAATGATGAGCAATCCTTTATTAGTAAATTATTCTGTAATAATATTAGATGAAATACATGAAAGAAGTTTGATGACTGATATTTTAATGGGACTAATTAAAAAAGTTTTGAAAGTTTGTATTTATTTAAATCTCTTTTTTTTTTAAAGCAACTATTTATTATTTTGCTATGCATTAAATTACTTCCAGAAACGACCAACTTTAAGACTCATAATATTATCTGCCACTTTGGATTCTTCACAACTTAAATCATATTTTAATTTAAATCAAAGCAATGACCCTGCTAATGATACTGCAACTGTTTTGGGTATTGAAGGAAGATCATATCCTACAAAAATCTATTATTTAAAAGGTGATATTTTCAAACATAATATAGTAAATTTTATATCAAATAAATTATTACAAACATTTTTTTTAGACCCTACACCAAATTATGTGGATGAATCAATTAATACGGTATTGAAAATTCAACAAGGTGGTACATTAGGTGATATTTTGGTATTTTTAACTGGAAAAGAAGAAATAATGCAAGCAGTTAATACATTGGATGATTACAACATTAAGAATCCTAATGACAAGTACTTATATATTTTAGCTTATTAATAATATATTTATCCTAGTAATTTAAGACTTGAATACTTGATAAGTATTTTAATATTGAAGAATTTGAAATTGACCATTCTTGTTGGAAATGTTTTCACATTTTTACTAAATGGTTACTTGTTTTTAAAATTTATTTGTATACACAATTATTTCAAAAGTATATAATATATTTTTATCATAAGTATACATTATCTTTTAATAAGGAATTCTAAATCTACTTATCTTTTGATTCTGTTATTTAATTTATTTTTGGTTAGGTTACCTTAGCAAGGTACATATTATGTTGTTAAAATTTTTCTCATTCTAATTAGAAATATAAATACTTCTACAAATCAAAATACATAAATCATTAATTAATTAATTAATTAGGTAATACTCGATTAATTTTATATTAAAAAAATTATATAATGTACTTATGTTAAAGTGATTAGATTAATTTTTCTATACTGAAGATATCAGGTCAGTTTTGAAATATAGTCAAGAAATTTAACTTCATATTTTTAATTCTCCATTAGAGGCATGATTTTTTTGTAATATCATTAGTCGCTAATACTTTTAATTGATCTACCATCATTCAAATTGATACATCTGTACACTGCATGACTAACGGAGAGTGTATAGTATTTTATCCTTACCAAATCATTTATTAATCAATTATTATTTATTTAATGAGCTCTTTCTCAATCCTTATTAATTTGTATGCATATACAAGTTTGTATAACTTTTAATATGTTTATACCATACCTCGTTGAGTTAAATCTATGTTAGTATTGTTCATGGAGTTAAGTTTCTTAAAACTATAGTTATAAGTAATAACTGAGTTTGGAATAGTGTATTAAACATTTTTTTTTTTTGCAGAATCAAACTTCTTCCTATACCTATGCATGGTACATTAACTAATGATGAACAACTCAAAGCCTTTCGTCCAGCTCCTAGAGGATATAGAAAAGTAGTTTTTTCGACTAATGTGGCAGAGACATCAGTCACAATTTCTGGAATTGTTTATGGTATATTCAACATTTTAGATAAATCAAAAAGTGTATAGATAAAGTATATATGTATTTAAGTGTATAACTATATAATATAATAAGTACAAACTTTCCCTATCTAACCAGCTCTAAAAAATCTTCCTGAAAGATATTAAATTTAATAAATATAAGTAAAGAAATAAGAAGTTATTGATGGATACATTTTAATAAATATTTAAAACTAAAAGAAATTATTTTTTTTTAAGAAACTATAAAATAAGTTAAATGTAGTTATTCTAAAGTAGATTAATATATTACATAAATCCATTTTTGTTTTTATTTTTATATATCTAGATTATTTAAATTAATTTTATTGTTTAAACTTTTGAATTGATGAACTAACTTTCAAAAATATTAATCTCTATAGTTCATTTTTGTATTGAGTAATTTTATTTTAAGAAATTAATTATTAAACAATTATTATATTTTGTCGTTATTAATGAATTAAATAAAACAAATTTTTAGCTGGGAATTCTTCTCAAATATAAGAACAATATTTATATATTTACTAAGCATGCTCATTCCCATTTATTTGTTTAATAATGAATTTATTTAAAATGTTATACTCAAAAGACTATATTTTCGAATTTGGTTTTCATTTGAAAAACAGAATTTTAGATAACCACAGGATACTCCTTAAGAGGACGTGATACCCGCATGCGTTGTCTCTGTCTTACAAATGCGTAACATGGTACATTTTTCGCTCAGCAGAACATGTGTAGCTCCGTTAACTTAAAAATTAGAGTGAACTGACCTCTTATACAATTTAAAGGTAAGATTATTATCTAGACAACCTCATATGCTTTTTATTTTATATCAAATTTAAAGCGAGTTATGAGTATTTTAAAATTGTGAATTTTTTGTGCATCTTAAAATACTCATAACTTCCTTTAAAATTTAAATATATTAAAAAGCATATGAGGTTGACTAGATAACAATCATAGCTTTAAATTTTATAAGAGGTCAATTCACTCTAATTTTTAAGAAAACAGAGCTACACGTGTTCTGCTGAACGTAAAATTTAGTATATAATGCACTTGTAAGACAGAGACAACACATGCGGGTATCACGTCCTCTTAAGTAATACAAAAATATTGTAAAAATGTTAATATATATGGTTTATTTATATGGTTTTAGAATAAATTTTGAATGACTGCATTATTGAATGAAAAAA